CTGCAGGTGTTCATTGCTACAGTTCTGCTTCTTCGCTGGATGACTACCCTGAGTTTCAACGACACGATCGAATTCTTTGAACTATTTGCGGGGCAGGCAGCTGTTACCAAGGAGTGGTTCGAGACTTAGTAACTTCCTCGAGGTTCAATGTACAAATGCCTGCATGAAGTATATATAGTTTAAGAAAAAAAAGCACGTGGCTCCACCGCCATAGGCAGCGTTGTGGATACAACACCATGAGCTATGATCTCTTGTATGGCCCGGGAATGGACTTTCTCACGGACAAAGGCTTTGCGACCCTTCTTGCAGTTTCGAAAGTCTCCTAAAGCCTAAACCCTAAGCCCTTCAAACCCTATAAAGAACTCTATAAACCCTAAACCCTAAACCCTGAACCCTATTATAAAACCCTAAACCCTATAACCCTTCAAACCCCATATAAAGAACTCTAAACCCTAAACCCTAAACCCTAAACCCTGAACCCTAAACCCTAAACCCTATAGACCCTGAACCCTAAACCCCAAACCCCAAACCCCAAACCCTAAACCCTAAAGCCTATATTATATATATATATATATATATGTAGACCCTAAACTTTATAGGTTTAGGGTTTAGGGTTTAAGACCTTTTAAATATTATAACCCGGCCTCGTGAACCCTAAACCCCTGGCTCCCACCCTGGCTCCCAGGATCGCGATGTATGCCGTCATGAACCAGTGCAAAGATGCCTGCAACATCATCGGCCCTGACTGCTCCAGCTGGGGCTTGCCGGCCCGCTCAGTATCTATGAGGTCCGAAATTAACGCCTATGGAAGGGTGGGCAATGCTTGGGTTGATGCCAACAACACCATGATATCCCGGTGCTTAAGCTGCACATTGGAGGGTCGGAGGGCTCAGTGAGTAGTGGTACAAATATAGTTAGGGGCCCTTTTAGGTGTACACATGCTATATATGTACTTAATTAGATCTACGTAGATGTACTCACTAAGTCCCCCGACCCTCCAATTAAGAGTGTATGGTGTGCATATGGTCTGAAATGCCCAGTGACCACAAGGCTTGTGTTGCTGCTGCTACTTATGCTGGCCCGCCACACGACCTGGGTAGTGGAGCAGCCTCACCAGTCACTTCTTGCGAAGCACCACAGATGGGATTGGCTGGTCAATCGTGTGTGCCAAGCTTCTGAGCTCTATGGAAAACCTGTCTGCTGGAGGTTAATTCGGGACTAGGGCAAGCTTCGTCTGAAGTACTTCGGTTTTCCGAGCCATTGTTGGGCCGAGGTCTATCGCCAAGGCATGTGGATGATGCACCATGATGGTCCTTGTCCAAAGAGGACAGTTCTCATGTCCCCCATGCGCACAATCAGAATGCTGGATCTTGGGGTCTTAACAAAAAGAATGAGGGAGAAGGCGACGATCAAAACAGTTCGTGTCCTGCTTGCATATACTCTTCTAGCTAGCTAGCTAGGTAGTGAACACGCAACCCAGAATCCGCTGTAACCCCTGATTAAACCCAAGCCCAACCCCCAAACCCTGAACTCAGGCAGACACGTGGACAAGAAGGGCCGCTCTCGGTTCTCCGGGTGCTCGAAGCAGCTCAAGGCCTCTGGGCTGCTTGCTTCCCCATTGCAAGCAATATGTTTTTGTTCATGGTCGTCTGGGGTTTGGGGGGTTGGGGTTTGGATCGTTTGCCGGGCCTGACCTAACTAAGTGCCTACACAACGACCTTTGGGAAGAACCTGATGGCCGCCTATGAAGCATGGAGAGGGCTCCCCACTGAAGAACGCCCAGAGTGCAGGGGTCGCAAGGAGATAAGTTTCCAGCGCAAGACCGACAAAGAACTGTTCCAAGAGCTCCCCCTGGGGGACTTGTGGGTGGACAGCCGTGTTCACGAAGTATTCCTATACCTTTATCAATGCAAAAGGGTGGCGCTGCTTGCCACATTTCAGAAAATTATACGTGCCATTCGATCGATCTAGCTCTTCCTATAGGCAAAAAAAACCAAGCCCAGCCTAGGATCCCTGACAGCTGGTCCGATGTGATGAAGCACTTCAGAGAGGAAGTGGTGTCTAACGCACCCAGGCTTTAAATTAGCTGAGTGCTTGGGCACTAACCCTAAAAACCCTAGAAAAACCCGCCTCGAAAACACAGTCCAGGCGTGTGGATCGATGGACCTACGACGTGAGCTGCAACAGCTCGAAGAATCCATTGGGGGATAGTGGTGTGTGGGTTCGAGGCTATAAGTAGGCTGACAGGTTCTTTTCGGTCTCTTTTCTTTGTGTCGGGGTTTGGGTGGTGTTTCGGGGAACTCCTCGGACCTTTTTAGGCGCAACCCGGCCGCAAAAACCCGCAACCCGGCCGCAAAAACCCGCAACCGTCCGCAAACCAAAAAAACGTACCAAACCCTCTATGCCCTTTGACCAGAAACCTCTTCATTCGGCTGGATTTCGGGGTTTCGGCCACCAATTCGAAAAGAGATAATTCAGAAATTCATCATTGGGCGGAAAAGACGAGAACCTGTGCATTCGGGCTTTGTAGGTTTGCAGTGGCACACAGTTCGGCTTACATTTTGACAACAGGCTCAATCGATCTGGCCAGGCTAGCTGCTATCGTTCATGGCCTCCCGCCTTTTCTCGTGCAACTCACTAGTTGAGGGACTTGCACTTCTAGGAACCAACTCAATGGCAGCCCCAGAAGAATCGCATGATCTCCAGGCGAGAATTGCTGCCACTAGAGTGAATTATGTCATGACTGCACGCATGAGCCCAGAAGTGTTGTATGTTTGCCTCAACCACCCAACACAAGACCAAAACCCCGCAGCAACCTGAGGCTTCCCAGGCCCGGATCAAGGCCTTGCAAGCGTCCATTGCAGCTCGTGGTGGAGTTCGCAGAGCACCCTCCGTGGCACAAGTTCCCGGCAACTATGGCTACAATTAAATTTTGTGAGCCCTAGCTTGTTTGGGGTTGTGTAGCGGTGCCTTTAAGTCTATGGGGCCTTAAGGGTTTGGCTTTCTTAGGCCGGCACAGGGGAGCTTGGAAGGGTTTGGGTTTAGGATGCGTGGTGCCTCTTGGGATCTGTGAGCCCCGAAGTGCCCGATACCATACGCCCGAGACCCCACCCATCTCGATCTATCTATGTATATCTATATATATTTTATATATTCTTTTCTATTATACATATATATATATACTATATAATTACAATATCATTATCATCTTATTAATATAATATTAAGTTTAAATATTATATAAATTATAAAAATTATATATTATAAGTATTAGATATTATAAATTAGATATTATAAAACATTAAATATTGAATATTAAATATTATTAAGTTTAAATATTATAAATATTAATATTAAATATTAAGTTTACTATTAAATATTAAATATTCAATATATTAAATATTAAGTATTATATCTTATTAATATTAAGTATATACTATATATATATATATATATATAATATTATATAGTATATATAATGTATATATTATATACTGATATACATATATATATATAATACATTTTAGATAATTATACATACACAACATTGTGTGCGTTTTCATATAATTGCATTATACATATACATATATATATATATATAATTGTATATATAATATATCCCTGCTGGTCGGATAAGGTGCTCCGTGCCTGGCGAGGCAGACGTCGCATTTGGCGATTCCCGGCGCCCTTTCTCTCCCTCCCACCAAAGATGCATTCAGTTCAGAAGACAGCTATGATAGCAGGCTTGAAGATGCGCAGCGCCCATTCCCTCGAGTGGCCAGCGCACCCCCAAGGGCCCACAGCAAAGGGAAGGGTGCAGGTCACGCCGCACCACGTGGCCACCTCCCAGATCCAACAAGGAACGCTGCAGAGGCATCGGGCGGCGAGCCAGACCCCACAAGGAACACTGCAGAGGCATCGGGCGGCAAGCCAGACCCCACAAGGAACACTGCAGAGGCATTGGGTGGTGATGTGGGTGCTGAGAAATGTGCAGGGGCACTGGGTGACACACAGATCGATGGAGCAGACCACCACACCCCTCGCAAGCCCAACAAGTCCAAGCCCAGTTCTTGCAGCCCGCCACCATCAAGCAGCCCCCCCTCAAGCCGCACGAAGAATTCTCAACGTTCCAAGTCCCCCACCTATTGGAAGAAATTTGGTTGCAATATGTTCACGATGCAGGGGTCCTGGTCTTGGGCTTGTATATATATGGTTGTGCACTGTGCGTTCTCGGCCCCCCCCCCCCCCCACGAGCACGGTCCTCTAACGCCGCAACCCTCAAAACCCTAAACCCTATATAAGTTAACTTATAATACCTTACCCTAACCCAAACCCTATAAAACCAACCCCCAACCACACCACAGGGGGGGGGGGGGGGTGAACCTTAACCCTTATAAACATGTAAACCCTAAACCCTTTATAAACCCCAAACCCTAACCCAAATGAGGGTATCATCTTAGTGCACCATTCTTGCGGGGGGACCGTTTGGGGGGGGAGGAGAGGGGGGAGGGGGGGGGGGGGAGGGGGGGGGGGGGGAGGGGAGGGGGGGAGGGGGGAGGGGGGGGGAATTGTTCTCCTTGACCCTAGTAGCCCTTAAGTGCTCAGGATGCGCCGCTACTTTGCCCCGTCGAAGTGCGGGAAATTGAAGTGCAGCAAGGAAGCTTTGGCCATGTACAAATGCCCAGAGGGTCGCAACAGGGCTTATGTCAGGATCCAGTTGCAGTAGTTCATAAGAGGTACATGTCGGCATGCCTTGTGTTATTCATCCGGGCTAGGCAAGAAGATTCAAGAGCTCTTGCACAAGTTTGGGGACTTTAAGCACATGGAGATGCACCTTCGCAAGTCCCACACGCAGTCGTGGGGCAAGTCCAAAGCTGGGAAGTGGGTGACCAAGCACTACTTGGCCACAGCAGAGCATTGGACAGCGTCCGGTTCTCAATAGCTGCGAAAATAAGCACGTCGATCCCGATGTCGATTGAATTTTAAATATATTCAGGAAGATGATCGCTGCTGCTTGGACATGGGCGGCCAACACCAAGAATCTTAGGCGGAACCCGGTGCATGGTGAGGAAGAAGCAAAGCTGGTCTTGTCAGATCAGTTTGAAGCACTCGACAAGACGACGCACGAGACTGGTATGGAGGGTGACATCGATATCGAGGACAGACCCCAGAACCCCCAACCCTTGCAACTTAGAGAACGCTCCGACACCTAGCTTCCCAAAGGATGAGGAGGAGATCCCAGAACCGCCCAGAACCTTTGACCCCTGCAAACACTGAGAAAATGTATCGCTTCCCAAAAACCCAGATATCTTAAACTTTATACGTGCAACCCACAAACACTAAGAAACTTATAGCTTCCCAAACCTTTCGAGGAGACCCTAGAACCCGGAACCCTTGCCACCCACAAAGATTCCGAAGCCCTACAACTATATATCGCTTCCCAACAGGATGACAGCGGCTTCCTCTTCGAGAACGACCTTCCGGACATTGAGGGCAACGATGCCTCCTTGATGAGCGGAGCGGCGGCGGACTCCTCTGTGTCTGCAGGGGCTCAACAGCTTGAGTCTTTCTCTTCATCGGCTTCGTTCAAGTCTCTAGGCAGAAGTACGCCTTGAAGCCTCAATGTCTCTCTAATGTACAGCTGGCCTGAAGTAAGGATCACGTTTCCGAGCCTGCAGCAGACAAGCTCCCCTCTTACGATTCTTCCGGGCTTCCTCGAAGTGCTTGGTCGAAAGATCGACAACTGTGTGGATGTTCAGGATTCTTGTATGGATTAGCTAAACGTACGCAAGTTTTCGTTGGGGTTGGTTCGGAACAGCCCAGGAGAGATTGACCAATGCAGCCGGTGCTCGAGCGCTGGAGCTGCTCACTTGCAATGGTGCCCTAAACACAACCCCACCCCCCTCCCCTCCCCTCCCCCCCTCCCCTCCCCCCTTCCCCTCCCCCCCTCCCTTCCCCTCCCCCCCTCCCCTCCCCCCCTCCCCCTCTCCCCTCCCCTTCCCCTCCCCCCCTCCCCTCCCCCCCTCCCCTCCCCCTCCCCCCCCCTCCACCTCCCCCCCTCCCCTCCCCCCCCCCCCCTCCCCCCCCCCCTCCCTCCCCTCCCCCTCCCTCCCCCTCCCCTCCCCCACCCTCCTTCCTGGGCCCTTCCCGCCCCCCCTCCTTCCCTGCCCCCCTGTGAGGCTGAAAGGTCAGATCGATGTTGTGCTGGAGAAGATGAGAAATCTTTTTCGGCAACTGTCAGCCAAGCAATCGGATTCTCTCACGGCCTCGATCGACAAGTTCTGGACTTAAAATGTAAGAGAATTTGTGTGCACACCTGTGTGGTGGTGTCCCAGCTATGGCATGTGCCTACTAGCTGTTTATAGGCCGTTCTCCGACTCCCTGCTGCAGCTCTTTGCTGAGACCACAAAACAGGATCTCGTCATGAACAACTATGTTGTGCGAGCCAAGTTCCCTGGCTCATACAACCCTAGCTAGGGTTTGGGGTTCAAAAGCTTGCACGGTTGCTATCATACGGTGTGTAAAAGGTTCTTGGGTACTTTGCGTGTGGCTTGCACCGCTTGTGTCCAAGGGCTATCAAGACGGGTGGCGCTCGATCGGTGGCCCCAAGTGCAAAGCCTGCTGCGAAGGGCAAGAATGGCCCGAAGGAGAAGATCAAGGAGAAGAAGGATCGCAAGGTCAAGAAGGACAAGCCGAAGCGTGCTGGCAAGAAAGCGTAGGCTCAATGCTCGAATGTAGCATCATGAAGGCCTGTGTGGAGTTTCGAACATGTTAATTTCCTAGCTGCCTGCACGAGGTAGCCTCGCAACAGCAATGTGGTTGCACAATGTAATTACTTAGGCCTGTGTGTTCTTAGACTGAACGGGATGCCCTGGAATGCTGTTGCTGTGCACCTTGCAATTCCGACCCATGCAAAGCTGGGCGTGCGTTAGCAGGGATTCTCAACGTGCGTGCTCGGGCAAAATCAATTGCAGTCATGCAGCCTGTACTGATATCGTACACTTAGCTAGCTAGCTGGCTAGTGTGCCATCCTGTGCGGGCAGGTCTACTAGACGCGGCAAATGAGGATGAACCAGGCCTGGACCCCAACCACCCCAAACCGTTATAAACCCTAAACCCTATAACCTATAAAGCCTAAACCCTAAAGCCTACAGACCCTATAAACCTTAAACCCTAAAACCTAGCTTAACCCTAAACCCCAAACCGTAAACCCTAAACCCGCTACCCGCAAAACCCTAAACCCAAACCCTAAACCCTATATAAACCCTAAACCCTAAACCCTTAACCAGAATAAACCCTATAAACCCCTAATCCTATAAGCCCTAAACCCTATATAGCTATCCCTAGACCCTAAACCCTAAACCCCAAACCCTAAACCCTAAACCCTATATAAATAAACCCTAAACCCTTTAAACCCTAAACCCTATAAACCCTAAACCCTATAAACCCTAAACCCTATAAACCCTAAACCCTATAAACCCTAAACCCTATAAAAACCCTAAACCCTATATCAACCCTAAACCCTATAAACCCTAAACCCGATAAACCCTAAACCCTATAAACCCTAAACCCTACCTAAACCCATAAACCCTATATCCCCGAACACTCAACCCTAGTCAACCCTTCCCCCCTTCTGTCCTGCAGGCAGCGAAGAGGAGGAGGACGATGATGACCTGGTTGATGAGCTTTTTGTTGGCTTTGAAGCAGGGGCCGCCTGTTCCGCATACTAGAACCCCAAGCACCCATAAACCTCACACGAGGCTAACATATCTAGCTAGCTCAATTTGGTTCGCTTCAGGCGGAGAGTGCCAGGCGTGTGGTCCGCTTAGCCCAAGTTGCTGCCAGGAAGCTGAGAAAGCATGGTCCCTTGTCCCTATAGATTTACGAAGGGCTTTACGAAGATGTACGTTTATTTTACGAGCTAGTGGGGGTTTAGCTATTATATGATAATTCCCTGTGTTCTAGGAATTCTGGATCCAAGCTTGGCTCGGCTGGCTGCTTGTGGAAGTGGCGGAAGGGGTCAGGGCAATGCTTCCCGCAACTTACACGCTCTGATTACGCGCCAGGGACGAACGCTTCCTGTGAAATTGGATCAGATCCCAACCCCAGTTCGGCTCGTCTTTAAAGGCAAGGTCTCCAAGCACGATATGCAGTACCCAATCTTGAAACCCTCGTCATGGTTGAAATATTCAATGCATGTTGGTGGAGAAGCCTTTCTTGGAGGGCATAGCCTGGATGCTAAAGATGGCTACACATCGATGCTGACCCAGTTTTGGAAGAACTTCCAAATGAGCAACCCAACGTTTCACTTCTTTGAACGGCCGGACTATCCACAAGTGGCACCGTTCTCGATACCAGTACTGGTACATGGTGATGAAGGTCGAGGGTCTGGCAAGAACCCGATCATGTGCCTTTGCATACAGCCACTGATATCCTGGAAGGGCCCTTCGTTTGTCAACTCCAGCGGGTGGCCAGACTTGCATAGCTGCACCTTAAAACCCGAAACCCTAGAGAACCCTATAGGAAACCCTAAACCCTGTATAGATATATGTTATAACCTATAGGCCCTAAACCCTAAACCCACTGGCTATTGTGCCCAACTCAGTGCCTATAGAGGCATTCCCTGACAACCCGAATGCTCTTCACTGTCATCCCTTCCGAGCTGTACTATAAAGACCTCACCTTGGACACCCTGCTGGACGCCATGGTGACAGACCTGGCGCAGATGTATGATGAGGGGCTTGTGGTCGCTTCAATTCCATGCACGATTTGGAGTTGGGGTGCATTTTAAGTTGGTTCTATTCTGAACGCAGAATTGAAATTTCGAATCTTGATGTATAAGGTACAATTCAAGAAGGAGGCTCTGCGCTTTCGCATGGTCCTTGTGGCAGTTAAGGGTGACTGGCCCTGGCTCCGAAAAGCGATGAAATTGCAAACCGGATTTACCTCGAAGAGGATCTGCCATGTTTGCAACAGCACAGTTCCTCATCTGCGTGCGCTGCTTATATACTTAAATTATACAGGGGAATCATCTAGAGACAGGCAGCCTCGGGCAGCTATGCAATGTGCAGATGTGTTTATCCTGCAGTCGAGGAATGGTACAACTTTTCGAAAGCTGGCATGGCTTCTGCCCATGAAGAAGCCCCAGCTGATCCCTACAAAAACTCTGAAGGACCGTCGCCGTTCCGGAGGCTAGCCACGATACAGGATGATGTTACAACCATCAAGCCCGACCCCGCGCATACGTATGCCATTGCCGGATGGGGCAAAGACTTGGCGGGAAGCGCTCTGGTTCTACTGTGTAGACTTAAGATACTATCTGGCAGGTCTCTCCAGGCTTCCTTTGACCATGGCTACGAACTTTTCCAAGCATACTGTCACAGGCATGGCAAATCAACCTCGATTTCGAACTTTTCTTTTCAAACCTTGAAGGTGGAGTCGCTGCTTGGCTAACGCCCTAAACCCCATACAGCCTATGGAAACGCTAAATCCGAACCCCGACCAAACACCTCAGGCTTCGTCAGTACCCTGCTGGGTGTGGTAAAGGGCACGATTGTGGCCTCATGAATGCGTGGCTAGAAGACCTGGTATCTTCGGTCGACGATTCAACAGTTGCAGTTTGGATGCACGTGTGCTATATCTAGCCTAGCTTGATTTGCAGCTGCGAGCTGCGTGCACCTCAGGAGCCCTGCAATGTTGGCCTACTGCAACTGTTGCGCTGGACATTGCAAGCTTGTGGGCTTTTTTTTCGCACCCTTTACTCTGGTGGGCTCTTTCTCACAGCCCACCAGGCCTGCATCTGTGTGGAGAGCGGGTGGAAGACGTTGGCTTCGGGACCTGGTTGGCTAGTTGGTTTATAGGGTATTATAGGGTTTAGGGTTTATATAGGGTTAGGGCTTAGGGCTTCGGGCTTCGGGCTTAGGGCTTAGGGCTTGGGGCTTAGGGCTTAGGGCTTAGGGCTTAGCAGGTTTAGGGTTTAAAGGGTTTATAGGGCGTTTATAGGGTTTATAGGGTTTATAGGGTTTATAGGGTTCATAATTTAGGGTTTATAGGGTTTAGGGTAGTGTAGCGACCGAATCCTCAAAACCCTCAGCGATATAGCTAAGGACGGCTATGAACGATTGGCACGCCAATGTGCAAATCGCCAGTGGGCTCTTTTTAGAATACGTCCAAAATTACACATGCAAGCAGAGATCGTGCAACTTGCCTGAGCTATATAGACTGACCCTTCCCTCGCTATATATAGCAGAGAACCCAGTCAAGTTCATGCAACCAAGTTGGGAAATCCAATCTCACGTTCGCCTTGGTTGTCGAGCAGTTCCCAACGTCATGAGTTGCTTGTCTTTTACAATGGGCTGTCGGGTCTATTTCTTCTAGCAAACTGCCCCACTACTGGAGGTTGGGCAACATGGTCAGACGAGGACTTCGTAGGAAGGATCTCACGAGTTAGTCGTAGATGCGCAGCTCCTCTTAAAGTTGTGAGAACGATCCAGAAAGCCCTCATGCACTACAAAAGGCAGTGGAGGCGAGAGTTTGATCTTCGCTGATGGCTCTCCAAGGGCCCGGCTTGTGTGCTCGAAGAAGTCGAACATGATCCGGAGTAAAAGCGTGCCGCGCTGTGCACTTGCAGGTTGTTGGTCTTGGGTTTATAAGCTACGTTGTTTTTTGGCTTATGGGTCACACAACCTTGCCAAAGTACCTCCCCAAAGACACCCAGACTGAGATATGTGGCGCCACAATGCCCTTGCACCCTTCTTCGTCCACATTTCTTCAGATCCGGCCACTATTCCAATGACGGCCAGAAAATTTGGAATTGTTATGGAAAAATTTCGCTATGCAAATTTCCGTACCCAAAGATCCTCTAGGTATATAAAGAGATATATGTGTAATATATGCGTATGTGCATACATATTTCACGCTCACGCACACACACCCAGACATGTATTAATGTTTGTTAGGGTCTAGGTCTAGGTTCCTTACAGAACCCGTGAGGCCAGCCTAGAGCGTCCTCCAGTCCGAAGCCTGCGTGCATCCGAAACCCTATAAAGCCCTACGCCCTACAGCCCAAGACCCTAAAACGCGAAAACGTGACACCCACAAGACCCAAAAACCTCGCCGCGGAAACCCTAAAACCCAAAGCCCTACCAGAAGTCCATCTCCGCAGGCTCCGGCTCCGGCGCCCACCAGCGCGGGGAGCGCCGCGAAGAACAAAGCCTCCAGCACCACGCCGCCCGCGGAGGCGTGGGGCTTGAGGAGTTTAGGGTTTAGGGTTGAGGGTTTAGGGTTTAGGGTTTAGGGTCAAGTCTAGCAAGAGCAACAGGGTCGGCTTTCGACACTTATAGCTGCACCAAATTATATACTCGAGCGGCTTTTGAGGCAAGGGTTTGAGTGTCAGATTCGCCCCAGACTTGCGTGGGTTCACAATTGCGTGTGTTTGTTCCACTTGAAGGTTCATGGGAAGCTCATAAGTAGGGCTATAGTTCTATGCATGTCCCCTGCGCCTTAATAAAGTAAATTTAAATTATACCATTCTACACCTTGAGCAAGTGAGTGTATATTCCCTTGGCCTTTATTTCGGTACTTATCTCCCCCCCACCACCCATTTACTCGAATTAACCTTCAAGTGGCCTTTCTGGTTTCGCAAAGCTGCTTTGCCAGGCGGAACTGGACGCTGTCCCTTTTTTTCACCTGTGTGCTAGACGAGGTAGCCCATCTCCTGGACCCTAAACCCTAAACCCTGAACCCTAAACTGCATCTGCGAGGCTTAGGAAGCTTTCTCTGTTGTTCTCTGTAGTGAAGTGACCGCAAGGCACAGAGAGCGAGAGAGAGGCAGATGGTTTTAATGGCCATCCTAGTTCATGTGGATGCAGACCCCCAAAAGAAAGAAGATGTAGGGCTTAGGGCTTAGGGTTTGGGGGCTAGGGTTTAGGGTTTGGGGTTTGGGGTTTAGGGTTTAGGGTTTAGGGAGGGCCGACTCCATACTCGAAACCCTGAATGCGATGATTGCTTTAACGCTTTTTCAGATCATTAAGGTTGTAGCCCTAAACCCTAAACCCTAAACCCTAAACCCTAAACCCCAACGTGCCATGGCCCAGACTCCGGTGGCTTCCAGCTCGCGGAGTGCGCCAAAGAACGACGCGGCGTCGCAGGCTGCGGCGCCGGCTGTGGCGGCGCGCAAGGACTCTTCAGCATCCATAAGGTTTAGGGTTCAGGATTCAGGGTTCAGGGTTCTGGGTTCAGGGTTCAGGGTTTAGGGCTAGGGTTGAGGGTAAAGGGTTTAGGGCTAGGGTTTAGGGTTAGGGTTCAGGGTTTAGGGTAAAGGGTTTAGGCCTTCAACATCCAGGGTTTAGGGGCTTGAGGGTTTTAGGGGGATGTTAGCGTGTAGGGATCTCGGGGATTTTAGGGTTTAGGGTTTTAGGGGATTTTAGGGTATAGGGTTCAGGGTTTTAGGGGATTGTAGGGTTCAGGGTTTAGGGTTTTAGGGGATATTTGGCTTCAGGGTTTAGGGTTTTAGGGCATGTGAGGAGCATCCATTTAGGGTTTTACGTCACTTTCGTTTCATCCGGGCTTAGGGTTTTCGGGGATTTTAGGGTTCAGGGTTTGCGGTTTTTGGCGAATGCAGTTCCTAGGGCATATCCTTGTCTTCCTTGCTGTGTTCATGATATGCTGCGCACAGGCATATGGAGTTGACCCGCAGATCTTGCCAGGGGCATCCTGCTTTGGCAAGGCGCTGCAACCCGCAACCCTCGATTGAATAGCGAGAATGAATGTATATAGCTTGGCTCATGACGTGTGCCTTGCCGAAGGCTATAACCTCACGCACGCTCGCCCATAAACATGGAGGGAGGTTGCCTTAATGATTGGACTACTCTCTTGGCGTTTACCCAGACACCGTCCCGTGCGTGGCTCAAGCCCTGCGGGGGGATGTCCACCCAATTCCTGCGACAAGCGCGTTGTTGGAGGACCGCAGGCAACCCGTCGCATAAGGTTCAGGGGTAGTTCTAACTGGGGTGAGAAGTTTAGGTTGTAAGTTTGGGTGAAATATGCTGGTTACCGTAGTTCTAGCCTACATAACCTACTTAGAACTACCCGATTGGGAGTTTTCAGTTCTGTTGCGGTTTAGGGTTTCGGGTTTAGGGTTTAGGAGCATTTTACACTTGATTTGTGCACGCCCATACCCAAGCAGGATCGCAGCACCGGAGACCTTGGAGTTTTGGGGTTTTAGGGCTTTGAGGGTTTAAGGTTTTTTTGGGATGGTTGGACCCTCCGGATCGCAACCCTGCTTGGAGGAATATCAGGTTATGCAGGGTCTCGGGTTTAGAGGGACTCTACTTGGAGGATTATTAGGTATGTGTAGGGTCTAGGGTTTATAGGGACTCTACTTGGAGGATTCTTATGTACATGTAGGGTCTAGGGTTTAGGGTTTGAGGATTCATGTTCCGATCCTCAGGCGTTGCCATGCTGGCCGTTGCACAGATGGTAGACCTCTGATTGCCCTCCCCTGCTGCCTAAACCCTGAACCCTAAACCCCAGACGTTCTAAACCCGAAATGGCCCCTATTGGCTACAAGTAGACTTTACAGTTCCAAGAACGTATCGTAAGCCAACATCGAACACCTCAATCATCCAGCCTTCTTTGGGCCTTGTGTTTGGGCGTGGGGTGGGGGATGGGGGGAACCCTAAACCCCAAACCCTAAACCCTAAACCCTAAACCCTAAACCCTAAACCCTAAGGTAGTCGAGGATCCCATGATTCAAGCGGACAGGACTTGGAGTCGTCATCCCCGCGGCATCGCCGCGGCTTTGCAAACGCGTCGACAAGCCATGGCAGCGCAGGCGCCATCATGGAAGATCTTTCTGAATCATACATACATCTGTACATATGCTGCATATGTTTACATTCATTCATATTTATTCATGTTCATATTCAGATTCGTATTTGTATTTATATTTGTTTGTGTATTTATACTTAGTACTTAGATTTATATTCTTTTTATATTTATATGTATATGCATGTTTAAAGATCCTAAGCTAAAAAACACAGTTCATCTCATTATCTGGCGTTAACCGAAGAGCGGCTCTAAATACGACATTATGGTTTGGGTGGAGGCAGGCGGAATCTGAGAACCCTAAACCCTAAACCCTAACCCCCAAGCCCTAAACCCTGAACGCTGAACGCTGAACGCTGAACGCTGAACCCTAAGCTCATGCCCGGTAAGATTTGAACCACGTGCAGTCCCCCACATTCCAACCCTAGTTGGAGGTTCTTATGTTATGTTTATGTGAGGTTTAGGGTTTGGGGTGGGGCTAATTTAATCTACAACCTTCCTCAGGGTATGCGAACCTTATTCCCTTGAACCTCCAAGGAAGCCCCAGATCTCCACCCAAACCGGCCCTGCACCGGATGGGCTACGTAGCCTTTCAAGGGTTTAAGGCTCTGGGTAGGAAACCCCGTAAACTAACTCTATGCACACCTCAACTGTAAGCCCAGTTATATAAAAAACCTCAAAATTCCAATTTGAAAATCTAGGATCTTATAAACCCGTCAAAAAACGTATCAAACAAAGCCGAAACAATAGCCCTTATGGCATCCTATACATCCCTTAAAAACCCCTTATAGCCTATAGCAACAGGTGAAAAGAGCCCCTTATGCCATCCGAAAGCCCTCTGTAAACCCCAAAAAGCCTATAACAAAGGCAAACAAATGGCCCTTATGGCGTCCGAAAGCCCCTTAAAAAAAACCTTAAAGCATAAACAAGCAGGAACAACAAACAGGCCCCTTGGGCATCCGAAAGCCCAGAGAGGCCCCCGACGTCTTGGACTGGACCTGGATGGCCCGAGCCTGGCAGTCCGCTGGTGCCCAAGAAGGCGCGGAAGCAGCGTTGGCGGCTCGCCTTCTTGTTGTTTATTTGAGGGTTTAGGGTTTAGGGTTTAGGGTTTAGGGTTTAGGGTTTAGGGTTTAGGGTTTAGGGGGAGGGGATGTTGTTGTGTTTTTGTTGTTTCTTAGGTGTCAGCATGTGTAGGCGCTTGAGTCTTACTTCCAAGCAACTGTCCCAGCTCCTGGTTCAAAAGGGGTTTGGGGTTTAGGGGGAGGGGGGGGGGGGGGGGGGGGGTAGGGAGATTTGGTAGCTGTCTTGGGGCATCTCGTCCAGCTGTCCAGAGCACGAAAAAGGGGTGTTGGATGCTTGAGGTGGTAGGGACATGCCGCCTGCGGGAAAGATTAAAATTTGTCCCCGCTCCAGGTACCAGTTATTAAGATTCACCCTCCCCCCAGGTTTTGACCGCTGAGGGGTGGGGATGTATGCCCGATTATAATCCCTACGAAGGACTGCTAGTATAAGGGGGAACATCCCAACGGCTGTCCAAGGAAAAGTTCGGCCTCATACTCCTCAACACGCCAATGTCGCGGGAACTGCTGGAAACGACATGGTCCATGACCGGGAGGCACATTGTGGCAGACGGAGGCCGTCAAACCCTGACAGTTGCATCGTTAGTTGGCCCGAGAGGTGTGTTGTGGCCTTGAATTCCAGTGGTGCCCAGGATTCGACTCGGGATTGCTACTGTAGAGTCCTGCCGTTCCGACAAGGTTGTTCAGGTTGTTCCCCTGTAACAAAAAACCTTGGTTTGGGGACTCTAATTCAGGGGGCACGTGTAGCTGATGCCCGAAGAAAGAGCGACCCGAGGGTTAGGGCGGTAGGGCTTCGTCGGGCACAACGGGACTGGAGGGCTTTGGGTGGCCGAAAGCCCTGAGATCAGCCCCAGAGCCGCCTTTGTGAACCTGCCAGGTGCCAAGGTCCTGCAGAACATGGCTCCGGAGTTCATACCCGACTTGAATCTCATCCGCAGCGAAGATCAGAGATTCCTTGTCGGAATGACTGGGGTGGTCTAGGGTTTCGGGCTAGATTTTCAAACATAGCGCGAGGGGCCCTTCTAAGGAAGAATATATATATATATATATATATATAATTTTATTTTACTATTTATTTTATGATTTTTTTTTTTTTTTTGGGGGGGGGGTGGTTCTTAAGCAAATAGTAGTTCTCCAAGCAGCCCAAGGATTGTTGGGGACTTCGACTCGGCGCCCAAAGCAGTTCTGGAGGCCTATCGCCCCTTGGGCCCAAGAGCTCTCGACGAGAGAGAGGGAGAGACAGAAGCGGACGTGGGTTGTACCGTTACAGGGCTCACGGTTCAGGCTTTAGGATTTGGGGTTTAGGGCGAGAGAGAGACAGAGAGAGAGAGAGAGCTTAGAGATTTAGGGATTTAACCCTCAGCCCCTAAGCTCCTACACCCTTAGCCCACGCTTCCAAAACAGGGCTGTTAGGCCCGGCTAGCGGGTCCGGACGCCTGGATGCAAAGCGGGGCTCAGGTTATCAGAGGATGCAGGCAAGACATGGCTTGGAAGGACTCAACCGGCCAGCCGTAGCCAAGGAGAGAAGGGAGTGGAGGTCCGAGACTTGTCGGACGATCAAGACAGCACGGACTTGGAGAAGTGCCTTCAAGCAGCGAAGGCCGGGTATTCGGATGCGAAAACAAATTGCTGTAAGTGCAAAGGGGAACCTTGAAGCTCTGAGTTCGACCTACCAGCCCTAACAGAACCCATGAGTTGTGCTTCGTGTAGCATTGCTTTGGGATGATATCTTCTTGCTTGGTAAAACAGTATCTCATCCGAATGCTTTGGGGTGGCTGTGGGTCCGCGAGCTCATGAGTGCAAGTGGTGACAGCCATAGCAAGTGGGAAGTTCGCAGAAGTATGGGGTCGTTTTGGGGTGACCCGAAATTTAAGGGCTCCTTCTTGCAATAGGAAGCCCACGAGTGACAGTCAACTTCGAGAACCGTGCAAGTCCTGTTCTGCAGGAAGCTGGCTGTGAGCGTGTCTGCGTGGTGGGGCAGTTTGCAGGAGCCTCTGGCTGCAAGATGCGCAGTTCTGTTGAGGTCAGTCCTGCAGTCCCTATAATCCCTATAAACAAGAATAACCTCCTCGGGGCCCTCCAACACAGCTGGGTTTCAAGCAAGAGTCGGTTGCATGTTTTTTGCTGGAGCACCTTGTCTAGGTCCCACGCCGCTACGTGAGTCTCAAACTTGCATCTCCTCCCCCCCCCACCTCCCTAAAACCTGCAGCCCTAAACCCTTGATAGTGAATGTGAGTTGGGAAAGGTGCTTGCTCTCGGTGACACGTTTTCTGCCCATTTTAGTCGCTCGTAGTCGTCGGTTTTCTCCACTTCGTGCCCTGCACTGCATCCGATTGTGGTCAGCTAGGCTAGGCGGGTGGCAAAAAAAACCGCCTCCTGACCCCTAAACCCCAAACCCTAAACCCTCACGGAAAGAAGAACGCCATGAAGAACAGCAGCTCGTGGGTTCGAAGGCGTCGACGGCCGCTTGGACCACACCTTTGCTGCGATGAATGCCATGCAAAAAGCGGCCCACCTGCAGGACTTGGTTTAGGGTTTAGGGTTTAGGGTTTAGGGTTTAGGGTTTAGGGTTTAGGATGCCTTGGGTTTTGGGGGGCTCTGTTTGTCCTTTGTTTGTTTGTTTGTTTTTTTGAGAGGATGAGGGTGTAGTGCGTGTTGAGTACTGGGCTGGCCGGAAGGCTCAACATGCAAAACAGCAACCATCAGCACCGGAGCACTCACCATTTTGCCCTAAACTCCAACACCTTATTGTGCTGTAAACAAGTTCAAACCAAAATCCCTAAACCCTACATAAAAACCCTAAGCCTTAGCCCTGAACACCCGAAGTAGAGCGTGAGCGCAGGACATTTGTGTGGCCCTGGTGAGTTGCGACCTCAGCTCAGACTAAAGTCGCGGGCTTAAGATTTCTGAGGGGTGTTTCAGGGGGTGAGGGAAAAAAGGGTGTAGTTTGGATTTTTTCGGATTTGGGGGTTGTAAGATTTATTCTTGAGGGGTTTCAGGGGGTAAGGGAAAAGAGAGTAGGGGTAGTACTGGTTTGGATTTGTCGGATTTTGGGGTTGCAAGGTTTATAAGGGGTTTAGGGGTGCAAGGTTTTAGCATGTAGGGCCTCAACTCTTGACACATCCCCCAAAGGCTGACAAGTACCCATGTCGGACTTGGGTCAAGGGACCCCAAACGTTAGAATCTTAGAAGGGTGGTCAGCTAGGCGGGTGGCAAAGAACCGTTACAAGGTCCCTAAACCCGATAAGGTCTAGGCCCTAAACCCTAAACCCTAAACCCTAAACCCTAAACCCTAAACCCTAAACCCTAAACCCTAAACCCTAAACCCTATAAGGTTTCGGGTTTAAGGGTGAGCTTCGGATTTAGGGCTCAGGATGTCGGATTCTGTAGTTGTTTTCGAAGGGTCGCGGTCTGGGCCCCATTCAGGGTTGTGCCAAACTCTAAGCCCCCCTCGCCCTAGAAACTCAACCCGAAGCCGATATCCAAGCACCCCAAACTCGAAAAAACACCACCAAGGGAAGCCTGAGGCAGGGTTTGGGCCCTAAACTTGGCTTTTGAGATGTTCTTGCATTTTCCTTCTCTGAATCAAGCCACACCCCGTGGCCCGACACCTAGCTGAACGTGCCAGGATGGGCTGTGATACCCTATAACCCCTTTAGAAAGGCCCGTTTTTAGGGTTGGGCCTACTATGCCCGATAAAAGGCCCTTTATAGGGTTGGTAATGGGGATTAGAATATATTTATTAAGGCCCAGTAGCCCATCCTGGTAGGCGACGACTGCATCTGCGCGCTGCTTCGCCAGGCTGCTTGGCAGCCGATTCCCTGGGAGAGGGGGTGTGGGAGCTCTTGCTAGATTATGGGGGGACCCTTGGGCCGGTACCCGGAACAAAAAGCTACTTTTTGCCTAAGGACCCCCCCCCCCCCCCCAAAAAAAAAGCAAAAAACAACAATAATCCCCATATTGTCCTTATAAGAAATCATATTATTTTTGGCGTGGTTCTTGCGCAAATAGCAGTAGTAAGGCGTCATAAAGTGTCTAGATTTTGGAGTAATCGGAAGTTGTTCACAGACTGGCCTCATCACCTCGCTCAAGGGATTCGTGAACGCTGGTTTGCACATGGTGCCATATCGTGCCGTGCGCCACTGAAAGACATGCGAGAAGACGGGCCATCACATAAGTCTTGCATATAAACCCTACTTCTAACCACCCTTCAAGTACCAGCCCCAAAGCCCTGCGAAAGACGCCCGCGTCGAGAAGAAACGCGCCCCACACCCGAAGCATGAGAGGTCCTAGGCATGCCAAACCCCAAACCCTCTTACGCACTTGACAACTTGGCAACTACCCTGAGCCCTGTCGACGTTTCTACCCTAAACACCTTCAAGCCTCTACCCTCAACCCTACAACCCCCCTCCCCAAAACACCCTACGCTCTAACCCTACTCAGAAGCAGAAACCAAAGCCGCCTTAAACCCTTAACCCTAAACCCTATAACCCTATAACCCTATAAACCCTATAAACCCTACAAACCCTATAAATCCTATAAACCCTATAAATCCTAAACCCTAAAAACCCTGAGGGATGCCACCGGGTCGGTGGCTTCGCAGCAGCTCCAAGCAGCTGCGGTCTCGAAGCTTGGGTTGAACTGGGCGGCTTCAGTACTTGGAGGTTCATGGCACTGAGGGTTTAGGCACTGAGGGTTTAGGGTTTAGGGTTTAGGGTTTAGGGGTACTTATTAAACCACGAATACCCCATTAAGTAAAGTTGTAATTGGTGAAGAAGTACCGTGAACCTCCAAGTAAACCCCCTACACCGGGTTTAGGGTTCAGGGTCCCGATGCAAGCCTGTTGGTTTAGGGTTTAGGGTTTAGGGTTTAGGGTTTAGGGTTTAGGGTTTAGGGTTTAGGGTTTAGGGTTTAGGGTTTAGGGTTTAGGGTTTAGGGTTTGCCTTCTTGCCTCAAGGCCAAACCTCTTGGCATGGTAACTCCCTTTGCCGGGGTACCTTGCACGTAGGACCTTGAATTTAAATGCACGCTTTGGTCTCTTTAAGTGTTGGACAGCGGCATGTGACACACGAAACACTTGGTTTGCTTGCAGCGCAGCTCAGACCTCTTCAGGCGAGTTCACGTTTCTGAGCTCTATCATAGAAGTAGTCGTAATACTACAAGTAAATTCAATAGATTCGTACAAACATATGCATTAGTATAGTACTGCAACAACATAATAGGGCTTACAAGCATGGGCCTGAACCCCAAACCCGAAGCCGGCCACGCCCGGGCGGAGAGGTTCCACTCGGAGGCCCAGTCGCCTGGCACGCAGTGAGGCTCGTGGTGAAAGGGACGCAGGGGGGCCCTTGCAGGGTTCAGGGTTTAGGGTTTAGGTTTTTTTTTCTTACCGTTCTACGACATGCGCATGAGCCCGTATCCCTGCTTGAAGGTCCGGCACAGCCGGCCATAGCATCTTCATGTTGGGGCTTTTGAACGGTTTCAGCTTAGCTGACATGGCATGTTGTTGGGAGGTTAGGGCTTTGGATTTAGGGTGTAGGGTTTAGGGTTTTAAGGTTCAAGGGCTTTAGAGGTTTAGGTTCTGAAGGTTACCGACCTGATTCCATTGTCGTAGTGTCTGAGTGGACGCTGAGGTCAAGGTGTCGACACAAGGCCTGCACTGGGATGTGGAGGAGCTCGGGAGACTTGTTGCAATGTCTACGAATTGCTCAAGAACCACCCCCCCCCCCCAAAAAAAAAAAAAAATAAATAAATAAATATATATATATATATTCTTCCTTGCAAGGGTAATGCAGGGATTATGTTTGTTTTTTCTTTTTGGGGGGGCTCTTATAAGCAAATAGTAGATGTGGTTGCAGAGGTGCAAAGGTTGAGGCCAAGTTCAACAACCTCCATCCGCAGCCTGATGTACACGTTCATGTCTGGCGCGCATCCATCTTTGTGGTACTTTACCGTAACTTTAGATCCTTACCTTTTTTTGGTTTATTGGGTTTCTTAATAAGGCAGCTAAAAGTTTAATTTATAGCTACCCTCCTGAGTGCAGCCAAGCCATTTGCGACCCGTACCTTGAACCACGTGAATATCCTGCTTCGCAAGGCATTAAGATGCAGATTGCTGCAGGAAGCTCAAGCACCATGCGTCCGATCATGGAGCCACGTAGCAGAAGCTTCTGCATGTACAGGAGGCCAAACTGGAATGGGGAGGTGCGGACCTCGGATGGCTATATATATATGGTGCACGCAGCACTTTTCGCACAGCAACCTGCTACGGCAAGGAAAGCCACAAGCCGCTGAACCCGAATCTAGGGGTTGGCTGTTTCTGACTGGCTGAGGCCTCATCAGCACCAGCAACTGCTTGGATTCAAAGGGTGATGGCTTCGTGCGGATCGAAACCAGTGGCCCGGTCCTGTGGAAACTTGGCATCACTTCTCAGACTTACACGGTACCTGCCCAAGCAAACTTCGACCTGGATGGCATTGCTTTATTACTTTGGACGACAGGCCTTCAGACTTTGCTCCATTTTTTGGAGGTTCCAAGCAGGTAGTGGTGCAGCAGTCAGGTTTTGAAGAACAGCCAAGGATGTGCAGCCGCACGCGGGCCAAGGTGGAGTAAAAGGTCAACAATCTCGCAAGCCAAGAAGCCAAGAGCTTCGCCCCTTGTCCAGAAGGCCTTAATTCGACCCTGAAGCCCAGAACTGACCGTCCCCAAGTAGAATGAGAAGCCCCAAACCATAGATCTTTGATTTACAATCGGCCCGTTTTCGGGCAAAATCTGGGGCGCCCTGGTGGTTTTGACAAGTTGAAGGTTTCGGCAAACCCAAGCAAGACCATAGAGCTTGTAAATGCTGGGCGTTCCGCACCTCACATGATAAACAAGTCAGATCCCAGCCGAGCCCCCACCAGCCTTAGACATGATACCCTGAACCAAAAATAGAGATTATGTAACGTCCGGTCCCCCCCCCCCCCCCCCTCCACGCACCCAGCAAGTTCAGCGCGCAGAGGGTTCTCTCTACCACTAAGACCTATGCCCCGCCAGGGCCGCCCAGCGCTTCAAAAAGAAAATTACGTTTTGCTTGTATTAGTGTTATCCTTGTTATGATTGTTATTCTTCGTCTTCGTCTTCTTTTTCTTGGTACTCTCATTATTATTCTTATCATTGTTTAATTTTAACAAAATTCTTGGCGGGGGGAGGGGGTTGGGGTTTAGTCCAAAACGTTACAGGCACATGTGTCCGTAGTGTTCGTCCAAGGGCAAACATACCCATCCCCCCCCCATTGAGGCTACAAACCCAGAGGGTTCGTCCAGGAAACTTGCGATGTTCCCCTTATACTAACTAGGGGTTATAGTACCCCCGACCATAAGGGGAAGCATCCCAATAGGAAACTTCCGAGCCCAAATCCTCTGTAGGCGGCTCACAGCACACGACGCGGTAGCGGTAGAAAAAGCCGGTTCTTTCCTCTTCGCTTTTGCTCTCGCCAACATGGGTATGGTCTTCGGCGTCGTCCACGAGGAGCGTTGGGTTCTAGGTAGGCCCCCGAAAGATTGCCTTAATTAGAATCTTCCCTTGCTGACCTTATTGAGTTTCGGGTTTGCGGTCGGTAGGGGCATTTTTTCCAGAGGGGTTAAAGGGCTAACCTCCCGTAAACCCTAAACCCGAACCCGTTTAGTTCAGCTGGGCGGGCGGCAAAACATCCCAAAACCCTGAGGTCTTGGCAGGGCTAAGCTCTAAACCCTATACACCCTAAGCGCATCTGGGTTTTGAGGCCTCCTTGCTTAGACAGGGTCCCAAGGGTCAGCTGGACAGCCAACCTGCAGAGTAGGGGGCAGACAGGAACGCCATGACCACCAACTTACATGTGAGTTTTTTTGGGTTTAGAGGGTTCTGGGTTTATGGGTTTTAGGGTTTATTGGGTTTAGGGTTTATTGGGTTTAGGGTTTCGGGTTTAAGGTTTAGGAAGCAAGGGCCCCAGTACCTCAGCAGTCCTGGGTAACGAAGTGGTGAAGGGGCCCTGTACCGGAGCTGGTAAGATGTTTCCACGGGCTTGCCATGCATGAAGCAATGCCCATGATTTTGCTGAGAGGTGTCGTTTAGCTTACTGCTGGTTAGTAGGGCATGGGGAAATAAGGTTCCATATGTCCCCCAAATACCCTTTAAGGGATTATATGTGGTACCTTATTTCCCCATTCCCTACTAACCAACAGTAAGGTAGGAGTCGTCACGAACCCATCGACTGATTAGTGGCTCCGTCTTGCGCCAGGAGATGCCCGAGTACAAGATGCTCGGCAGGTTTTGTTCTGGCTACCTGAACCCAGCCCCAGACGTAGGCTCTGCAGGACTTAGGTAGTTCAGGTATACAGGGTCAGGGTTTAGGGCTTGTAAGGGCTTAAAGGGTTTGTGCTTTTTAGAGTTTAGGGGGAAAGGGCTGTTGAGGGTCCAGTCGGGGCTTAGCGAGAATTGTCGGCTTAAGGTTATTGGTTCCAGTGGGAAAGTGGGAATGCGAGGTTGCACGGCACCGTGGGCGGCATGCAGTGCCGCGAGTATGCGCCCGGTTGGGTGGCAAAGGTGGGCAAGGGGGGGGGGGAGAGGGGTTATGGTCGGGTTTAGGGACAACAGGGGCAACCCCAAACCCCAAACTCGAAACCCTTTCAAAAAATCACCAGCCAAATCCGACCCCCCTCCCCCACCCTGGGTTTTTAAAAGGCGCTCTGTTAGTCCAGGCTCCCTGTGGGGAGCATGAGCAAGCGCGTTTCAGCCGTCATCCTTCGAGCGGTTTTTGCAAAGGTGCATCTCCGTAAAGGTATCCCACTTCTTAAGGTCTTGACCACAAGTAAGAAGTCCCTTTACTAGGTACGATGATTTTGCATTCCAGAACTTTGTCGGCAGTAGTGGCAGACTGAGCGGGGGACGGAGTGAGGCACAAACTGCAGCATCAGGAACAACAAGTTTGTTCCAAGAACGGTTGCGCACAGTTATGTGTTTAAATATTTTGCGTCTTTAGTAAATACTCCGTTCTTCTTGTAACATGTGTGGAAATTGTATTTAATAAATATTTTTAGTTTTTAAAAACCTTGCTCGTGTCAAAAACGCGCTGCTGGTCCGCCATGTTTGCCCTGGAGTTCGCCCGTAGCACCGTGTGTCAGTTTGGGGGGTGCGGAGTGCCTCTGAGATATGTGTTGCACAGGCGGTCGATGCCGACAGAGTCATTGTCTGGGGTTCCATTCTTGCAGTCTTGCGCAGTTTGGGGTGAGCTCATGTTTGTTCGTTGCAAGCCAGTGCGGCGCGTTCCTGTGGAAGTTACACTCGATTCTATCGCCCATCCAAATTTCCTGAGCAGGACGCTTGTTCCAAATACCTTCTAAAAAGCCTTAAGTGGGGGACGGGGGTCGGATTTCTGCGGTTAAAAAAGCCTTTCTCCTCGGGCTTCTGGAAGCACTTGAAGCATGCCTAACTGGTTGCGCTCGAAGCATCGGACAAGAAGAGTGCACTGGGGTCATGTGTAGTTCTAAGTGGGGTTTAGGGTTGAGGGTTTGTAGTGTCAGGTCACCTACTAGTAATTAGTTCTCACGACAGCTAGCGGAGCTAGGTTTGAGTTCAGTCACTGCTTTAGTTGAGCAGGAACATGGTCACAACCCCCAAGATTGATAGAGTGTCACAGGGGTGGGGGGGGGGGGGGGCCCAATATTGAACTGAATACGCATATAAGCATATATTTTGAGACAAACAGACGTACAAACATATGCCACAGAGACCGCGATCCAAATTTAAATAGCGGTCCGAAAAACGCGATGGCGCGATGGAGAGAAACCTTTCTACAAACGATCTAGATCTAAAGAGCCATCCAAAACACATGTTGCACACTACCGTGAGAGACAGACACACACATAAAAGGCATGTCTCAGAGATAAAGGCATACGAGCACACATATCCAGGCACGACAGGACACGACAATAGCGGCACGAGCCTAGGCTAGCTTTCGCTAGCCTCGGCCTGCTCCTCAAGCAATCTAAAGAAGGTACTTATAGGTGATAACCCACTTATATAACTGGCCATGAACCTTCAGGTATGTTCAACGGGGTAGATTTGCAACGAACCAGGAGACTTGACGCCGACAGCGCGTAATACGAACAGCAAATGCCTGGGATTGCCCAGGGGGGCGTGGGAAGTGGGAAGTGAGCTTCGGAATTTTGCTGAGGCAACTATCCTCCCTCTAAGCCTCGTGCCCTTCAATTCCTTGCAAAGCATAAGGCCCATGCCAGACATCAATGGCACGTCACATCCACTGCGCAGGTGTGCTCGGACGACTACCCGGATGCGAAGACGGACGCTCAAGCCCGTATGGATTCCCGTCATTCTTGTCTTTCCCGTTAAAAAAACACCGAAGCAAACCTTCAACAGCTCACTGCCCATGGAACTCCCGACCTGGAGGCACCACTTTGCTACCCACTTTTCCCCGCAAGCCTCCAAAAGTCCTCGTCCGAACGCGGCTAGAAAATGGTTACTCGGTAGGCCCTTGGGACATGTGTTATTTCCCCTTAATTATTGGGGTTTAGGGTTTAGGGTTTAGGGTTTAAGAGGATCATATTGAGGAATATTTGTCAGAGGGTTTTAGGGGCCATCCTCGGTTACTTCAACCCTTCCTGAGTGGCAGCTGCATTATTATTGGTATTATTATTAAAATTATTGTTATTGTGATTCTTAGAATTATTCTTTTCATTGTTATTATGATTATCAGTATTATTGTTATTCTTGGGCACCTAAACCCTTGGGCCAGCCTGGCTCGTTCATAGGGGACAGGAAGAATGGCCGTGATAGTCTTTCTCCTCATGAATTCGAGAACTACCCCCCGGTTTAGGGTTTAGGGTTTAGGGTTTAGGGTTTAGGGTGTGCCAACCCCCCAGGAGAAGAAGTTCATGAATGAAGCCTTCTGGACCCTTGCAGGGTACATCGGCGCCGTCTCGGAACCAAAGAGCCTCGATCAGAAGCTAAAATGCCCCCGAAGCTCTTGGCCGCTTTTACATCCCTTAGCCCTGAGATCCGTCCTTCGATCTGTGGCTGTTTTGCAGGGGGTAGTGTTCACAGCAGCCACGATGTAGATTTCAGAGGGGCTAGAATCTCGACCGGCGAACTTGCCTCAAGCGCCGCCAAGAAGAAAATCAAGCTGCCACAGGACAAGCGATCGCACACCTAACTTTCGTGTTCAGACATGGCTCAAAGAGACACAACTTCCCTCAGTCTCCCTCCTGGCGCCGCTTTGCCACCGAGGAACCAGTCCATGAAGACCAGCGACAAGGAGGCCAGCGCCAGCCTTGCTTATGCACATATTGGGGGTTTTCGAAAATAGGAGACCCCCAAAATAGACCCCAAATAATAGGACTCCCTTACAATAAGGACCCAATAAGGAACGCCTGCTTTCGGAAACTCCCATATATACACCCGACGAAGCGTGTCGGAATTTATGGTTTCTACTTCAACACAGCCTATGGGGGGTTGTTCTACGCTGTACGTAGAAGGATTCCTTATGCGCTGGCTTTCTGGGAAGGGACCCTAATTGAGAATCACCCTCCCCCCTCCCCCCGGGATTAAGTTGAGAGAACTCTGGTCTTGATGGCCGGTGGAACATGATTCTCACCCTCATAAACTAAGCAGCAAGACATGCAGCTAGCTCCGCCGCTTCGCCTACATATGATAGACCCTTGGAGGTTGCAGGCAGGCCTGCATGGACCTGGGACTCTGCATACCTGCAGTTATCCTAGGTAGGATAAGGGGGACCCTTAAAAGGGAACCCCTTCTTAACCCTCTTCTGGCTCTCTTAAACAGGGACCTTATTCAGAGGGTCTATACCCCCAAGGGTCCCCCTAATCCTATCCCCTAAGTTAGGTAGGGTTCGGACTGGCTCTCTTGCATCTCTGCCCGCTTGGTGCAGGCAATTGCCATGACGGCCCCGGTGGTGATGACCAGCAGCGAGAAGATCGCCATGACTGCGCCCGTGGCCACTGTGGCCTTGTTTGAGCCACTAGGTGGGCCTTTTCGGGACATGTTTATATTTTCCCCTATAGTTGGGTTTAAGAGGGTCATGTTGAGGATTCTATTTTTCTGAGGGTCTTAAGGGCCGTCAGCTTGCGACCCACGAGTATGTAAAACATGTGGGGCCTTTTCTCTGAATCGCCGCGGTTGCACGACTAACTGTGTCCTTGGCCTTCGCAAAGCTCGCCCTATAAACCTTCAGCACCCCGACATCCCTGTACACCCCCCACCACCGGGATGGGGTGTGGGGGAGCAGTTCGGTTCGGCGCTGTGTATACATTGCACAGCTTGAGAACTGTAAACGCGTTTTATAACTAAGAGAGAGGAGAGACTCTGAGAGTGCACTAGGACCAGGATAACCTCTTAGGCCCTAGAATCCCCATAATCAACCCTATAAAGGGCCGCTTTAAGGGGCCATAGGGCTGGGTGCGGTGCGGTACAGTACCGCTAAAAGGTATGGTTGAAACACCCATGCTGAACCTGTTCCAGCTCCGAAGTTCCATTCAGGTCATGACCTCCAGCGAGGCTATTGCGATGACTGCGCCAGTGGTCATGACGGATGCTGGGATGCAGCATGTGAGCTCCAAGCACAAAAGCCTCGTGAACCCACATAGCATATTCTTGGGCAAGACCATAGAGGAACCACTTTAAGGGCCCAAATGTATTGAACTTATATGGTTACGTGGACCCCCCGGGTGGGTCAGGTGGGATGACTGTCTTCGAAGATGTCAGGCTCCAGGTTGGGAGTAATAGGTGTTCAAAGATTCCCTTTTTGAGAGGGAAATTCGATGTATCATGCCTTCCGAGGGTTTTTTGAGCAAGCCAAGGATGCCAGTCAGATGGCTGGCAAGACGATGAGCCCCTTGACCGGAGGTTGTGCTGTTGTCTTGGTAAAGGGGTTTAGGGTTTAGGAGGGTTTGGGGCAAGTGTTTGGAGTTCGGGTATGGGGGGCGGGTGCTAAAGCTCTGCAGGGTTTGGAAGAAGGGCTGATCTCGTCAGCTTTTTTTGGGATTGGGGCTGCAACGGATGTGTGCTCGAATTACCTCATTCATTGCATTTCAGCCTAGGGCCACCTCGACCAGCCTGAACGCGAAGCCTTCAGCAGTAACACCGAAACACCAATAGCTGCAGGTTTCATCCTTCCCTCCAAGTACCTCAAGAACAAGGACTGGCCGGGTGCCTTTTTGCATCGGGCTTACGATGGGTAGGCCCCTTGAAATATTCAAGGTTTTCCTAAGAGTCTTTCCTAAGAGGATCTTCTCTAGGAGTCTCCTTCAGAAGGTGTACCCTAAACCCTAAACTCTCTTTGATAAGGTTTAAAGGGCCCGCTGGCTGCTTCTCCGGAGGTTTCTCAAGTGGGCGGGGCTTTGAAGGGAGGTTCCTCATGCAACTACACGTGTGAACCCTAAACCCCTAAACCCAGCGCTTCCATGTCTCACCACACGCTTTGTCCCGGAAACCCCTTGCAGCAACCGCAAGTTTTGCAATGTGAAGGCTTGCGAAACCCTAAACCCTAAACCCTAAACCCACTTAAAACCCTTAAAACCCTTAAACCCTGAAAACCCTTAAAACCCTAAAGCCCTAAACCCGATGCCGATCTCTTGATCGCTGCGGTCACCAGGAGCAGCCCCCGAAGCCCATGGATGCACGGGTCAAGATCGAGCAGATCCCTGGCCGCCCCCTGGATGCACGATCCTAGATTAGGCTAGAAGTCCCGATGCACTAGGACCCGGAGTAGGCCCTTATTGCTCTTTTTTAGGGTTTAGGTTCCCATACATCCAATGTTGCAACTACAAATTGCTTCAGAATCAACAAGAAACTACTGCTTCTAAGGGCTGTCTAGGGATGATAATTTTTGCTTTGTGGGTTCTTAAACAGTAGACAAGGAGGGGCCCTCCTAGTAAGAAGTAGAGTTTTAAGAGCCCCTTATAGGTAGAGTTCTAAGAACCTAGAAGTGGACTGTAAGAATCCTAGAAGCAGGTTATAAGTCCCTTAACTCGATCTAGTAAGGGGGCCCCTCCCTTGTAGGGCCTCTGCATTCCTGGTACCGTAGACTTAAATGGGGCTCTGCGGCGCATGTCCTGGGAGCTCGAGTAGGCCCTTGTTCCATTTTTTGAGGGGGGTCGGTTTAGGGTTTAGGGTTTAGGGTTTAGGGTTTAGGGTTTAGGGTTTAGGGTTTAGGGTTTAGGGTTTAGGGTTTAGGGTTTAGGGTTTAGGGTTTAGGGTTTAGGGTTTGAGGGGGGTTGGGTTCCCTTAGGCAGGATTTGCGAGCGAAGTGAGTTCGTGAGGATGCTGCTTCTGCAGTCCTAGAACTACAGATACCCAAAAGAACTTGCATCAGCTGGGCTACATTGCGTGTAGGCGCAGGCGAAAGGAGAATTGTTTGCCTCAAGCCGCAAGAACTAATCACTACGGGTTCCTCCAGCAGTGAAGAGTCAAGAAGCCCAAGAAAGCGCAAGACTTAAACCCTAAACCCTAAACCCTAAATCCCGACACCCCCGAGTGGACGCCCTCATAAAACCCTAGAAAGCCTGGCAGAGCCATTGCAAAGCCCATGCCTTAAGAAATCTACAGAAACTCCTCCTTAACCCTTACGGCCCAAAGCCTACAGGACCTCTCCCTTTTGACTAACCCTAAACCCCAAACCCTATAAACCCTATAAACCCTATAAACCCTATAAACCCTATCAACCCTATCAACCCTATAAACCCTATAAACCCTATAAACCCTATAAACCCTATAAACCCTAAACCCGAACCCTCAAACCCTAAACCCTAAACCCTAAACCCCAAACCCCAAACCCCAAACCCCAAACCCCAAACCCCAAACCCTAAACCCTAAACCCTAAACCCTAAACCCTAAACCCTAAACCCTAAACCCTAAACCCTAAACCCTAAACCCTAAACCCTACTCGCCTCTTCAGCTCTTTTGCAGGCATCGCCCTGGTGACCACCTTCTCCGGCTACTCCAGCGCTGAGAAGGCCAAAGGCATGGCTGGCAACCTGCACCTCGGGCAGCTTAGGGTTTAGGGTTTAGGGTTTAGGGTTTAGGGTTTAGGGTTTAGGGTTTAGGGTTTAGGGTTTAGGGTTTAGGGTTTAGGGTTTAGGGTTCAAAAGGTTTAGGGTTCAAAAAGGTTTAGGGTTTAGGGTTCAAAAGCGTTTAGGGCTCAGGGTCTAGGGCAGTTTGGGCTCAGGGTAGCTTTGAAGTTTAGGTTTACGTGATTCACCCTTGTGTGTGGGGTGGGGGGGGCGGGCCGCAGGAGCATTACACTGCTGGTCTTCATACCTCCCCGACGGCTGATGAAGGTTTCGGGGTTTTGAAGTTCAACAGTTGAGGCACGTCTTCAGTCTACTGCAACATTGCACGCCCGCCTCGGCAGTTGGGGTCTCGCAGCGGCTTTCAAGGCTGCGCCCATCCCATGCACTCTGCGCTGCAGAGCCCGACTGCGCACCTGCAGATGTTGCAGCTCGTCAGAGCCCGAAGCTGCGTGAGGTGAACAAGCTCAGGCTACAGTTTCTTCAGATGCGCTCGTAGCTTCCCTCCGGACGGATATGGAAGCGGACAGAGCTGTGCAAAGCCCTGCCGAGGGCTCTTTGGCCTGGCTCTTTCTACCCCGTTTTGCTGTCATCCACGGCGATCGCCGTGCGCTGCTGTGTGCTGGTACGCCTTGTTGCGGCCTGAGAAAAGTTTGGAGGACTGCCAAGGGCTCTCAGGGTCCAATGCCCAGCCAGGAGACCCCTCCGTATAAGGAAGGGTTTTTGGGGTGGGGTCGGGGGTCGGCTGGCGGGTGGAGTGGGTGGGCTGAGACTCGCAGGCTTCAGAGATGTGACCTGGAAGCGTCTTTGGCAGGACGTTATAACTTTAGGTAGTGTAGCACTACTGAATAGCCTGGGAATTAGAGTGGATCGTCTGGCTGAAATGCCTCAGCAACGGACATGGTTCTTGTGCATACAGGTGCCAGGCAAATCTGCGCATATGACGAACAGCAGCCCTGTCATGTTGCTGCCTACGTTTTCTTTATCGAATCTTTCGTTCATGGCCATGTGGCGCGCACCTTGCATGCATATCATTCAGAGAAGTAGCGCGCGTACAATGTAGTACTGGCTGGAGGTCTTGCGTTTGTCGGGTCAGCTTGTCGGTCGTGTTGAAACTTTGCGGTTCAGCAAATTCACGGCACCTCGTATGAGCATGAACATCATTTTTTGCGTGAGCTTATTCAACTGCTTGCGCTGTCATCAATGCCTTTGTGATCGTGCCAGTGCAGCCTGCCTATCGCCAACCGGATATACTTGCGAGCTCTCGCTTCACGGTGTGCCCTGCTCCTCTCAACCTCACATCACTCACATCCTGCTTAATTTGCCGAGGATTGACCAGGTGAAAGCTGCTTACCCGGGAACGAAGCCACTTGTCGTAAGAATTGCAGACGAGGTAGTCCTGATCAGTGATTTAGTTGGGATGTTCCCCCTTATGCTAACAGTCCACAATCGGGATTAGAATAGGGGGTCCTAAACTCCAAACCCTAAACCCTAAACAGGACTGTTAGTATACGGGGGAAGATCCCAGATAGTTTATGTTGGAGCATGCTACGAGCGGCTTGTCCTTCCCAGGCATCCCATGTCCCACTGCACGAGGGTTTAGGGGTTTAGGGGTTGGGGAAGCTGGATAGAGTGTCCATTTGCCGCCCCTTTACTTACAGAATCGTACGTTTGGATTGTGACCGTAGTAGGCCTGGTCTTGGAGGAGTGAAGAGTGAGCCTCAGATCCATTTGACTTTGTAGCTCTCTGGAAGCACTGCAATTCGGACTGGCGAACGACCTAAACCCTAAACCCCTAAGTCTCGCTTTTGCAGCCAAGGTTCGTCATGGATGAGGCCACTCAGTCTCCCAAGTGGGTTGCCTGGCAGCATCAAGGTATCAAGCGTTCACTAACCTCACCCTGGTTCGAATTGTATAGGTCCCCCCCCGGGGTTGGGGGGGGTTTTGGGGAGGAGGGGGGGGGGGGGGGGGGGGGGGGGGTGGTTTGGTTTGGTTTGGGGGGGGTTTGGTTTGGTTTGGGGGTTTGGTTTTGGGACTGTTTTGGGGTTTTGGGGTTTTGGGGGGGGGTTTGGGGGGGGTGTTGGGTACGGTTGCCCTCTCCAATATCTTTTTCCTCCAATATCTTTTCCCCTCGTTGGCGAAGCAATACCGTACGGCCCTGCGCAGGAGTTCTTCGGCTACAACCCGCCTTTCACTTTGCCCTGCTTCCGCACCAACGAGGTGGCGCTCTACATTAGCGAAGTGCGGCTTGGCCTTGACTATAGCCCCCTTGGGAATTATTTTGTATTTTGTTTATATACAACTCAAGAGGATATTAAAGATATTATTCTTATTAAGGTTCTGGGGGGAGTGTAGTTGACAGTAAAAGACAATTGAGGGTTTAGTGAGAGTTTAGGGTTCCCAGTCCGTGCTCAAAAGTGAGAGTTTAGTGTTTCGGGCGCCGTGCCTGCGCAGGCTAGGGGAACCTCCCCTTATTAAGCTCTTTGAAAAGCCCAACCCCTCTTTAGTGTTCGGCTTGCTTAATGGGCCATTTGGAGAACAAGTAAACCCTTCAATGGGCAAACTAGGAATGCAGTGTTTTCGAAGACTGGTTGGGGGCTTCGTATTTGATTGAAGTTGCGCTGCTGCTGGCTCTTGCACCACGATAGGGCCTGGGGAGCCTAGAGGAGGCTCCATTTGGGGATGTTCCCCCTTATACTAACAGTCCTTAGTACGGAGTATATATATATATGAAAGAGCAGCCTTTAGGGTCTATTTAGCTCATTCCTTTTTTTAATAAGCAGAAAATAATTTAATTTATTTAAATAAATTAAACTATTTAAATAGAGAGAGCTTAATTAAATTATTTAAATCCTACGCCCTATTTTTTTGAATAAGTAAGGCGTCGGATTTAAATAATTTAATTGGCTCTGTGCTTGTCTATACTCACCTCCCACCACAATTAAATTAATTTAAACGATTTAAACGATTTAAACGATTTAATTGGGTCCAATTAAATCGTTTAAATCCTACGGTGCAATTAAATTATTTAATTGAGGCGTCGGATTTAAACGATTTAATTGGGCCCAATTAAATTGTTTAAATCCTACGGTCGAATTAAATTATTTAATTGAGGCGTCGGATTTAAACGATTTAATTGGACCCAATTAAATCGTTTAAATCCTACGGTCTATTTAAATTTTTTAATTGAGGCGTCGGATTTAAACGATTTAATTGGACCCAATTAAATCGTTTAAATCGTTTAAATCGTTTAAATCGTTTAAATTAATTTAATTGTGGGGGGACTCAGCCAAGCCATAAACCAATTAAATCATTTAAATCCTACGGTCTAATTAAATTATTTAATTGAGGCGTCGGATTTAAATAATTTAATTGGCTCTGTGCCTGTCTGTACTCACCTCCCACCACAATTAAATTAATTTAAATGATTTAAACGATTTAAACGATTTAAACGATTTAATTGGGCCCAATTAAATCGTTTAAATCCTACGGTCCAATTAAATTATTTAATTGAGGCGTCGGATTTAAACGATTTAATTGGACCTAATTAAATCGTTTAAATCCTACGGTCGAATTAAATTATTTAATTGAGGCGTCGGATTTAAACGATTTAATTGGACCCAATTAAATCGTTTAAATCGTTTAAATCGTTTAAATTAATTTA